TTTAAAGAGTCCTCTCCTGCTGATGTTCAGGTGTATATCAGTATGTAGTGTCTCTACTTTAAAGAGTCCTCTCCTGCTGATGTTCAGGTGTATATCAGTATGTAGTGTCTCTACTTTAAAGAGTCCTCTCCTGCTGATGTTCAGGTGTATATCAGTATGTAGTGTCTCTACTTTAAAGAGTCCTCTCCTGCTGATGTTCAGGTTCATATCGGTGTATATCAGTATGTAGTGTCTCTATTTTAAAGAGTCCTCTCCTGCTGATGTTCAGGTGTATATCAGTATGTAGTATCTCTACTTTAAAGAGTCCTCTCCTGCTGATGTTCAGGTGTATATCAGTATGTAGTGTCTCTACTTTAAAGAGTCCTCTCCTGCTGATGTTCAGGTGTATATCAGTATGTAGTGTCTCTACTTTAAAGAGTCCTCTCCTGCTGATGTTCAGGTGTATATCAGTATGTAGTGTCTCTACTTTAAAGAGTCCTCTGCTGCTGATGTTCAGGTGTATATCAGTATGTAGTATCTCTACTTTAAAGAGTCCTCTCCTGCTGATGTTCAGGTGTATATCAGTATGTAGTGTCTCTACTTTAAAGAGTCTTCTCCTGCTGATGTTCAGGTGTATATCAGTATGTAGTGTCTCTACTTTAAAGAGTCCTCTCCTGCTGATGTTCAGGTGTATGTCAGTATGTAGTATCTCTACTTTAAAGAGTCATCTCCTGCTGATGTTCAGGTGTCTATCAGTATGTAGTGTCTCTACTTTAAAGAGTCCTCTCCTGCTGATGTTCAGGTGTATATCAGTATGTAGTGTCTCTACTTTAAAGAGGCCTCTCCTGCTGATGTTCAGGTGTGTATCAGTATGTAGTGTCTCTACTTTAAAGAGTCCTCTCCTGCTGATGTTCAGGTGTATATCAGTATGTAGTGTCTCTACTTTAAAGAGTCCTCTCCTGCTGATGTTCAGGTGTGTATCAGTATGTAGTGTCTCTACTTTAAAGAGTCCTCTCCTGCTGATGTTCAGGTGTATATCAGTATGTAGTGTCTCTACTTTAAAGAGTCCTCTCCTGCTGATGTTCAGGTGTATATCAGTATGTAGTGTCTCTACTTTAAAGAGTCCTCTCCTGCTGATGTTCAGGTGTATATCAGTATGTAGTGTCTCTACTTTAAAGAGTCCTCTCCTGCTGATGTTCAGGTGTATATCAGTATGTAGTGTCTCTACTTTAAAGAGTCCTCTCCTGCTGATGTTCAGGTGTATATCAGTATGTAGTGTCTCTACTTTAAAGAGTCCTCTCCTGCTGATGTTCAGTAGGTAGTGTCTCTACTTTAAAGAGTCCTCTCCTGCTGATGTTCAGGTGTATATCAGTATGTAGTGTCTCTACTTTAAAGAGTCCTCTCCTACTGATGTTCAGGTGTATATCAGTATGTAGTGTCTCTACTTTAAAGAGTCCTCTCCTGCTGATGATCAGGTGTATATCAGTATGTAGTGTCTCTACTTTAAAGAGTGCTCTCCTGCTGATGTTCAGGTGTATATCAGTATGTAGTGTCTCTACTTTAAAGAGTGCTCTCCTGCTGATGTTCAGGTGTATATCAGTATGTAGTGTCTCTACTTTAAAGAGTCCTCTCCTGCTGATGTCCAGGTGTATATCAGTATGTAGTGTCTCTACTTTAAAGAGTCCTCTTCTGCTGATGTTCAGGTGTATATCAGTATGTAGTGTCTCTACTTTAAAGAGTCCTCTCCTGCTGATGTTCAGGTGTATATCAGTATGTAGTGTCTCTACTTTAAAGAGTCCTCTCCTGCTGATGTTCAGGTGTATATCAGTATGTAGTGTCTCTACTTTAAAGAGTCCTCTCCTGCTGATGTTCAGGTGTATATCAGTATGTAGTGTCTCTACTTTAAAGAGTCCTCTCCTGCTGATGTTCAGGTGTATATCAGTATGTAGTGTCTCTACTTTAAAGAGTCCTCTCCTGCTGATGTTCAGGTGTATATCAGTATGTAGTGTCTCTACTTTAAAGAGTGCTCTCCTGCTGATGTTCAGGTGTATATCAGTATGTAGTGTCTCTACTTTAAAGAGTCCTCTCCTGCTGATGTCCAGGTGTATATCAGGTATGTAGTGTCTCTACTTTAAAGAGTCCTCTTCTGCTGATGTTCAGGTGTATATCAGTATGTAGTGTCTCTACTTTAAAGAGTCCTCTCCTGCTGATGTTCAGGTGTATATCAGTATGTAGTGTCTCTACTTTAAAGAGTCCTCTCCTGCTGATGTTCAGGTGTATATCAGTATGTAGTGTCTCTACTTTAAAGAGTCCTCTCCTGCTGATGTTCAGGTGTATATCAGTATGTAGTGTCTCTACTTTAAAGAGTCCTCTCCTGCTGATGTTCAGGTGTATATCAGTATGTAGTGTCTCTACTTTAAAGAGTCCTCTCCTGCTGATGTTCAGGGTGTATATCAGTATGTAGTGTCTCTACTTTAAAGAGTCCTCTCCTGCTGATGTTTAGGTGTATATCAGTATGTAGTGTCTCTACTTTAAAGAGTCCTCTCCTGCTGATGTTCAGGTGTATATCAGTATGTAGTGTCTCTACTTTAAAGAGTCCTCACCTGCTGATGTTCAGGTGTATATCAGTATGTAGTGTCTCTACTTTAAAGAGTCCTCTCCTGCTGATGTTCAGGTGTATATCAGTGTGTAGTGTCTCTACTTTAAAGAGTCCTCTCCTGCTGATGTTCAGGTGTATATCAGTATGTAGTGTCTCTACTTTAAAGAGTCCTCTCCTGCTGATGTTCAGGTGTATATCAGTATGTAGTGTCTCTACTTTAAAGAGTCCTCTCCTGCTGATGTCCAGGTGTATATCAGTATGTAGTGTCTCTACTTTAAAGAGTCCTCTCCTGCTGATGTTCAGGTGTATATCAGTATGTAGTGTCTCTACTTTAAAGAGTCCTCTCCTGCTGATGTTCAGGTGTATATCAGTATGTAGTGTCTCTACTTTAAAGAGTCCTCTCCTGCTGATGTTCAGGTGTATATCAGTATGTAGTGTCTGTACTTTAAAGAGTCCTCTCCTGCTGATGTTCAGGTGTATATCAGTATGTAGTGTCTCTACTTTAAAGAGTCCTCTCCTGCTGATGTTCAGGTGTATATCAGTATGTAGTGTCTCTACTTTAAAGAGTCCTCTCCTGCTGATGTTCAGGTGTATATCAGTATGTAGTGTCTCTACTTTAAAGAGTGCTCTCCTGCTGATGTTCAGGTGTATATCAGTATGTAGTGTCTCTACTTTAAAGAGTTCTCTCCTGCTGATGTTCAGGTGTATATCAGTATGTAGTGTCTCTACTTTAAAGAGTCCTCTCCTGCTGATGTTCAGGTGTATATCAGTATGTAGTGTCTCTACTTTAAAGAGTCCTCTCCTGCTGATGTTCAGGTGTATATCAGTATGTAGAGTCTCTACTTTAAAGAGTCCTCTCCTGCTGATGTTCAGGTGTATATCAGTATGTAGTGTCTCTACTTTAAAGAGTCCTCTCCTGCTGATGTTCAGGTGTATATCAGTATGTAGTGTCTGTACTTTAAAGAGTCCTCTCCTGCTGATGTTCAGGTGTATATCAGTATGTAGTGTCTCTACTTTAAAGAGTCCTCTCCTGCTGATGTTCAGGTGTATATCAGTATGTAGTGTCTCTACTTTAAAGAGTCCTCTCCTGCTGATGTTCAGGTGTATATCAGTATGTAGTGTCTCTACTTTAAAGAGTCCTCTCCTGCTGATGTTCAGGTGTATATCAGTATGTAGTGTCTCTACTTTAAAGAGTCCTCTCCTGCTGATGTTCAGGTGTATATCAGTATGTAGTGTCTCTACTTTAAAGAGTCCTCTCCTGCTGATGTTCAGGTGTATATCAGTATGTAGTGTCTCTACTTTAAAGAGTTCTCTCCTGCTGATGTTCAGGTGTATATCAGTATGTAGTGTCTCTACTTTAAAGAGTCCTCTCCTGCTGATGTTCAGGTGTATATCAGTATGTAGTGTCTCTACTTTAAAGAGTCCTCTCCTGCTGATGTTCAGGTGTATATCAGTATGTAGTGTCTCTACTTTAAAGAGTCCTCTCCTGCTGATGTTTAGGTGTATATCAGTATGTAGTGTCTCTACTTTAAAGAGTCCTCTCCTGCTGATGTTCAGGTGTGTATCAGTATGTAGTGTCTCTACTTTAAAGAGTCCTCTCCTGCTGATGTTCAGGTGTATATCAGTATGTAGTGTCTCTGCTTTAAAGAGTCCTCTCCTGCTGATGTTCAGGTGTATATCAGTATGTAGTGTCTCTACTTAAAGAGTCCTCTCCTGCTGATGTTCAGGTGTATATCAGTATGTAGTGTCTCTATTTTAAAGAGTCCTCTCCTGCTGGTGTTCAGGTGTATATCAGTATGTAGTGTCTCTACTTTAAAGAGTCCTCTCCTGCTGATGTTCAGGTGTATATCAGTATGTAGTGTCTCTACTTTAAAGAGTCCTCTCCTGCTGATGTTCAGGTGTATATCAGTGTGTAGTGTCTCTACTTTAAAGAGTTCTCTCCTGCTGATGTTCAGGTGTATATCAGTATGTAGTGTCTCTACTTTAAAGAGTCCTCTCCTGCTGATATTCAGGTGTATATCAGTATGTAGTGTCTCTACTTTAAAGAGTCCTCTCCTGCTGATGTTCAGGTGTATATCAGTATGTAGTGTCTCTACTTTAAAGAGTCCTCTCCTGCTGATGTTCAGGTGTATATCAGTATGTAGTGTCTCTCCTTTAAAGAGTCCTCTCCTCCATCTTCCCTTTGCTGCCGCAGTGAAGGAAACCCTGCTCCTCTCAGCTGTGCTACGTCACCTCCCGCCTGTCCTTATATGGCGCGGGGATCCCGGCGTCACAACCGGAAGTAGCTCCATGTTTGGGCAGCTACGGAGGGGGGAATCCCTCGCGCCGGAGTCGACCAATCAGGAGGCGCCTGGAGTTACCTAGGAGACGGAGAGTATAAAAGCTGCTGAGGCAGGGAGAGCATCTTCACACAGCACCGAGCTTTACCGGAGGATTTATCCAAACACACACACAACAACACACTATGCTCCTGCAGCGCGAGGACAGCTTCATGTCGGACTTTGAGGATGCTTGCAGCATGTGGGTGGACAGTGTGGGCTCGAGCCCCAACAGAGACTCTGAGGGGGGGTCCCCAATCTGCCAAGGTGCGTTAAGACAATTAGAGAATAACGAGAAAATGTGCGAAATGTGTCTGTTTAGGAAATGTCTGTTTATTAGTGAAAATGTGGATATTTAGAATTATTACATTTTGCATTAATATTGTTATTTGTATTAAATATACCACTTTATATATGATTTACCTTACTTGCATATTTAAATGTGTTTATTTCGGTGCACATTTTTTAAAATCATGCCTATTTAACATTTGTTATTTGTTTAAATAGAGCAATAGTACTTGTATTATTTTAAAGTATTCATAATGCATCCTGCTGCATGCATCACTGTGTAGGCTGCTGCCCACTGACGAGTTATTATGCAATGACAATAACACCCTCCTCCTCCTCCTCCTCCTCCTCCTGCAGTTTTCTCTCCGGGAACAGACGCCTCTGACTCGGATTTCTTCTCCGACTTCAGTGACTGTTCCTCGGACTCCCTCTCGCCTTCCCTCGGCTACAGCAACAGCTTCTTCCCGGAACCGGAGGCGCAATCCCCGGGACTGAGCAGCACCGCGGACGCCATCCTCAACATGATCACGGAGATCGTGGGGATCTGCACCGAAATGGAGCAAGACGCTTCCCCGGATCTTGCAGCCCCTTCCCCGGCTGCAGCATCTCCTTCCTCCCCCCTCTTTGCTCCATCACCATCACCATCTTCTTCCTCTGCCCCACCCAGCAGTGAAGTGACCCCCCCTCTCCCTCCCATGGTTTCCCACCCAGTTGTGGTGAAAAGTGAGTTTTTGAGCTCCAGCTGCAGCAGCGCGTGTTCCCACTCTTCTATGCCCGGGAATGACGCTCTGTTCCTGGGCAGCGCGGACTCTCTGCTCCCGCTGTCGGCTCTGGAGCAACAGGTGGATGTTTGTGACTTTATCGACTCTCTGCTGAGCTGTGACGCCGGACAGAGCGACCTGAAGCCCGGCTTCGAGGTGAAGCAGGAGCCACTGGAGGACTGGCTGAAGGGGTTCCCGGTGACCGGGGGGGGATCCCGGTAACTACGTCATCAGCAGACCGGTGAAGACGGAGCTGTTCTCCCCGTCCACGCTCCCCTCCACCGTGGACGCGCATCTGCTCTCCTCCCTTCTGCAGGGCGCGTTCCCGATAGTCAACATCAGCAGCATGCACGCAGCCCCCAAACAGTCACGCACAGGGAGGAGAGCTCCCGCGCAGAAGGCGAAACCCTTCACGTGCACGATGCACGGGTGCGAGCGCCGCTTCTCGCGCTCAGACGAGCTCAACAGGCACGTGCGCATCCACACTGGACAGAAACCCTTCACGTGCACCATCTGCTCGCGCAGCTTCAGCCGCAGCGACCACCTGACCACGCACACGCGCACGCACACGGGGGAGAAGCCCTTTTCGTGCGACGTGTGCGGCAAGAGATTCGCGCGCAGCGACGAGCGGAAGAGGCATGGGCGCGTGCACGTGAAGCAGCAGCTACGTGCGCAGATGATGGCCGCCTACTCGCTGGCCGTGAACGCGCCTGGCGTCTGAACATGAACTAACTATTACTGCAGAGAGCAGTATGTTTGAACCGTCAACTGGAAAAAGCGTCGATGTGACGTCACACAGGTGTTCCTCTCACGGCGCATGCGTACAGGAGGAAGCATCTGCAGGTGGAAAAACTACAGACTGAGAACTTTAAACATGTGGAGAGTAACTAAGTACATTTACTCAAGTACTTTGACTTAAGTGTGAGGTACTTGTACTTTACTTGAGTATTTCCATGTTTTGTTACCTTGTACTTTTACTCACTTAAATCAGACTTGAGTTCCACCTGGAGTAAATCCACCAGCTACCCTGCAGTATACAAAGTCATTCAAACTAGCTGCACCTTCACCAGCTTTGAGAACACTTTCATGATCAATCATTATAAAACATATCATATATATTATTCTGAAATGGACCAATCAAACAACGACTACTTTTACTGTCTTTCACTATATTTTGATGAGAATACTTTTCTACTTTCACTTGAGGAACATTTTGAATGCAGTACTTTTAGATCCGAGTACTTCTACTTTTATTAAAGTACATGATCCGAGTACTTCGACTTCTACTAAAGTACATGATCCGAGTACTTCTACTTCTACTAAAGTACAATATCAGAGAAACCGTCCGTCTGTAAATATTTCTGCATGACAACAAAGTGAATGTCCGGATGTCGTGAAGCTGTTTCCACTCAGAAGATATTTCTATGTTTGTAACACATCTCTATTTTTCTAGTTTGTCTACCTCTTTGTGAGTGTTTTACATGGAGAGAGTATATGTATATATTTACAGTATATATATTTACAGTATATATATTTATAGGAGAACACAAAGCCAGATTTCTATGGCGGATTATCGTGCGATGATGTCACTT